GCTTGGGTGCGTGTGTGCGTGAGTGTGCGGTACAGCTACCCGTTGGAGGGGCTGAAGGCCGGAATTCCTTCGCGGAGGAAGAACCGCAAAGTGGCTAGTGTGGGCGCTGAAGAGGCGTCGGTTCGCGAAACGTCCACTTCGGGGGAAGAGAGTGATGTTACGGGAAAGGCGGTGGTGAAATCGCCACCGAGGCATCTTCGTCGGACAGATGCGGTCGAGAAGAAATAATCGGGTTCGGGTACCGGGTCTGATGCGGGAAGTCGTGGTCGTGGTCGTCCTAGAACGATTGTTATTCCGGGGGTAGTACCCGTTTTTGGGGCGTCAGGTCGAGCAAGCGGAAGTGCAAGTGGGTTGCCTTTGGGCGTTGGCGCGTGGGCGAGCGCGGAATTGGAGAAGAACGTTCAGGCGAGCACGGTTACTGGTACCAGCACTCGTGCTGATGCGGACGTTGAGGGGGCTGCATTAAAGCCAGGTAAGGTGGTTGGGGCCGATACGAAGGCTAGTTCCTCGGTATCGGTGAGGAAGTTAAAAGCGATCTCCGCTAAATTTAGCGAGGCCGTTTTTGGGTTAGAAGGAATTGACCTGTTATCCGCGAAGAGGCTGTTGGAGTTTCCCTCGCAGTACGAGGAGCTCCTAATGACGGCTATTGCCGAGAATGCCCGTCTCAACGGCAAGGTTGATGTCCTCAGTCGGGGAAGAAATGGGGTCTTTGCTCAGCCAGCTGTGGTTCCACCGATGGGAGCCCCACCGAAGTCGACACCGGAGGCACTTGTGCCCTCGATGCCTGCATCGGTGGCTCCAAAACCGGTGGAGACATATTCGCTGATTGTTCAGGGAAAGTCGGGTTAGTCCTCTAAAGAGGTCGTGAAGAAGGTGGTGGATGAGGCGGGGCCCTCATTAGGTGTTAGGGTGCATGAAATTAAGCCTCTAAAGGGAGGCGGTGTGATTATTCGTACACCTGTCGCGGAGCGGGAGAGGGTTGCGAAGAATACTCGCTTCTCTGAGGTGGGGCTCGATGTCAGCATCAGGAAGCAAGGAACCAGGGTTGTGGTTCAGTCGGTTCACACCGAGATAACCCCCGATGAATTCATGGGGGATTTGTACCGGTTGAACCTTCAGGAGTTCAGCCCTGGATGCCTTGAGAAGGACGTAATGATGATCAGCCGTCCATGGAAGAAGACTCCGGATGGAGTAACAAATGTCGTCCGTACCAAGTTAATGTCCGATCTCCTTGATGCAGGCCGTTGCTACATCAAGTGGTTTTCGTTCCGAGTACGGCCGGACTTGTTTGCGCCCGCTTGCTTCCGGTGCATGGGCTTCGATCACCGTGTGGCTAAATGTAAGGCGAAGAAGGAGGTCTGTTTGAGGAGCGGGCAGGAAGGGCATCGTATAGAGAATTGCGATAATGCAATGCATTGTTGCAACTGCGCCTTCAGGGGAAAGCCGGCTGATCATCTTATGATGACAGGCGCTTGCTCGATTTATGGTGCAATTGTTGACCGTGCGCTTGCCAGACATTAAGATGGGTAAGGTCCTGCAACTTAATTGTCAGGGGGCTTATTCAGTGATGTGTGATGTAGGCGCATTGATGGTAGAGGAGGACTGCAGCATAGCTCTGCTCTAGGAACCTTATGCCACGCAGGGTGTGGTTCGAGGTCTCCCTGGTGGCTTCAGGGTTTTCACCGACCGTGGGGCCAATGCTGCAGTTGTGGTGAATAACCCGCACTTAGAGTGCGTGTTGGTAGACTCGTCTGAGCTAGGGGTAGTTGTTCATCGGGCGAATATGTGGCAAGGATCAGATACACGTTCGCTCCGATGTGTCGTAAGTTAAATTAAAAGAAATAGACAAGGTAAAATTCGGTATTAGAAATACAAGAATTCAAATATATTTTATTTGCTCTAATAATAACATGTACAAATGTATTTCAGATAGATGTATTTCAAATATATGTCAGCGCTTATTGCTTGACATCTACTGCAGGCAATTCGATAGTTTGACAGCCATATTTTCATTTGAAAGAAAGCGTGCTGGTGGTAACATCGATGAAATTTCGATATTAAATCAAAATAAAAATCTATTCCCTATTGGATTACTTATGATTACATTTTAGGAAATTATTCAGCAAGTTTTTTAAAGATTTAAATGTTTTTAAACACCGAAATTGAGACAATGTTGTCTGGTGGCGTAATGCGACAAATGCTTATTTCAAGACATCAAAGTGCCCACACACAAAAACTTGAAATTATATTGCTCGTCAAAATGACAATTGGTAGGCCATCGATGTTTGCCTGTGGAGTTCTGCGGTCAGGTGCGTTATCAGTGATCGGACTTGAAAAAAGTGTGGTAGAATCTGGAAAAAATGTGATAGATTTCAAAAAGTGTGGTAGATCTCACGTTTTGGATAAAATTTTGTACAAAAATTAGAAAAATTCTGCAAGGTTTCACCTAAATTGCAAACATTTTAATTAGAATCCAAAAAAAAAATAATTTTAGTACAATAAAGTGCAAGATTGAAGTTGCTAAAAATTGCGTTGAGCTTTGGCAATTTTTTTCAATGACAGTGTAAAGCAGTTCCTCCCATATCAAGATATTTTTCGAACATATTTTGAAAGATTTCTGCAACCTTGCGGAGTGCTGCCAGCTTTTATTTTTATCACATCACGACGTAGGGAACAAATGTGGCACGTTCCAGAGACCGCTACTTGGGATTTGCCGATTTTGACAATTCTCAAGTAAAAGTAAACAACGTTTTAGAAACTTTAGATGCACTGAAATTTGCTACTACTTTCACAAAAATCGCCTGTTTTTTAACATTTCCTAACATTTCCTAACATTTAACATGCCTATTCAAAGAGGCGAAAGTCCAAAGCTGGTGTGGATAGAAGCGCCCACTAAATTGTTGCTTTCTCTACTGCAAGAGCTGCAGCCGAAGGTGGGCAAATCCGTCCATGTAAAAAGCAAGGCGAAGATGTGGAGCAGGGCGTTCGAGAGTTACAATTTTTCATGTGCGCAAATCGAAAATAAGTTTCGAACCCTTGAGCGTCAATACAAAAAAACGATGCTCCATAACAAAAGAACTGACAGCAACCGGCAAATGTGTCCTTACCAAAGGTTGGTAATTGTATCACAAGAATTACTTTATTTCGTTATTTAACAATTTCTACATTAATTTTCAGCGAGTTAAGTGAAATTCCGGACAGCAAACACAGTGTAAATCCAGTGTACACTTTAGGCAACACATCCAGCGACCAGTAGCTCGTTTCTGTAACAATTCTCTACCAAAGCGAATTGAGATATGAATTCGCCGCCTTGTTCTCTACTGCTACTCTACCAGTAGAGAAATAATCGGTACAGAAGAGTTACAGAAACTGGCTACAGATGGAGTTAACCGAAAGCGCTTCTGATCTGGATCAAACGCTTCCACGTAATGATAGGATACATTTGTGCCATTCTGGAATTACAGATAAACTCACTGACTTACACACCTTTCGCAGTGCATGCTTGCCAATACAGCACATATGCAGACAGTTTAACAAATTTAACAATTGACATCTATGTTTGTTTAAAGTTGATGCATTTTTTTTTAAAGTATAACTCAATATCTAACAAAAACCATATAACTCCAAATATGAAACTTTGTGCAAAAATTATTTAAAGAAAAATTATAAAATTTAGTAGAGTTTTATAGCCCATTCAATTTTGCTGAAAAATCTTCTTAACTTTTTTGCTGGCGGTGTAACGCAATTCCTATATGTACTTACAAACATTTTCGAACATAGTTTGTAGGGAAGAAAATTCATGACCCTAATTTTCACACAAAGTTTGAAATTTGTATTTATATGGTTTATGTTAGATATTGAGCTATGCTTTTATAAAAAATTAATATAAATTAAACAAACAAAATAAACATAGTGCAAACTTGTCAAAATTTCACGTTTCTATTATTTTCGCCATCGTGGTAAATGTGTATGTATTTATTATAAAAAGAGAAAAACAACTGGCCAACGAAACAAACTTCAGGACACGCTGAATAAAATAGAGGCGAATCAGGAGGCATTCAATGAAAAAATTTTAAATTATTTAGAGGCGAAAGAGCAGAGAGCTCAAAAAAAAAAATAAGAAAGAGCGCAACGAAAGGAGGATATGGCAAGAAAAAAGTTATAGCTACTAAAAATATTAATTAATAGGCAAAACTAAAATATTTAGAGCAAAAGTTAATTTGCATGTGCTAAGGACTGAATTTGTACCTGTTTTTTTTTAACATTTAAATGAGTTTATTTTTTTTGTTTTGTTAAAGCTTATATAGCTATAATTAATAATGATATATACAATATCGGTCATATCAAAGTGATATTGTTTGCCATTAATGTTTATTTATTTATTTTTAATAATTTTCAATTAAAATACAGTTTATTCTGTAACAAAACCCATATAAACCCAATTCTAAAACTTTATACCAAACTACAAAAAATGCAACAAATTTCCACAAATGTTCATATCTTTATTAAATTACATTAATTCGTTTTTTTTACAAGCTTTTATTTGTATGTAGTTTTGTAGCTTATTTACTTTTAGTACAGTAATGTGTAAGTTACAAGTGACTGCATTTCTGCATTTCAAAAAAGCTAATAAAAATTCGGAATAAAAAGTTTAAAATTTTGTTAATAATTTTTTTAAGTATTGACAAAGTTGCATATACTCTTCTGTGTTGCTATCTATCTATTTGAGAAAAGTTCATCGCATATTAAATCTCTTCGAAGATTTCTTCTTGATGATACCGTGGGCTCGTTTTCATTGCTTTCTACAACTTCGCTTTCTGGAGAATATTCTATATCATCCTCATTAGCAAGATTGTGCAATACGCAGCATGCTCTTATAAAATGGCACAGTTTTTTAATTCCCCTCAGTTTATAATAGTATAATTGCCGAAACCTTTGCATAAGAAGACCAAAGCTATGCTCGATTGCAACACGACCTTTACTCAGTTTGGAATTGTAATATTTTTGTTGCCTTGTCAAATGGCCATTATCCTTGTAAGGCGTCATTAGATATTCACTGCAAGGATATGCTGAATCACCAAGTAAGTAGTACTCTGTAAAAAATGTAAATGCTTTACTTAACTTTTTTTAGTTGTAAAAAAATGGTTTTAACCTCCACATAGAGATCTTCATAGACTGGGGAGTTTTGTAAAACCCAACTATCATGGCTCGATCCAGGAAAACCAACAAATATGTGGATGAACATTTTCTTCTCGTTGCATATAGCTTGCATACAAAGCGTTGTGTTGCCTTTCCTGTCAATATATTCATCTTTATTTTGAGCAGGCGGATCAATGGTTATTTGTGTTCCATCGATGCAACCTAAATGAGAAAAAAGTTAACACTTTACGTTCTTAAAGTAATAATTAAGCTGAAAAACTATTCCTCACCTATTGCTTTCGAAAATCCACATTTATTGTGAAAAAAATTAGCAGCTTCACGTTTTTCCCTTCATCTGGCCATTCAATTACCATCGGACTCAAGCTGCTTATGAAAATCATGGTTCGTTCGATGATTCGTGAAACGCTTGACAACGAAACATTAAATCGATCAGATATATCGCGATTACTACAGGCCTCGTGGCCAGCGAACCACAAAAAAACCAAAATATGGGTTGCTGCTGGGAAACGTTTGTCAGAGCGCAAGTTTTTGAACATATCGCTTTGTTCGAATCGCATTGTCAAGTTGGTGCACAGTTGTTTTGATATGCGAAAGTGTTGTTTAAATTCTAGTTCGGAGTAATTAGGCACTACATCCTCCAAATAGTTCTTTATGTTTCTCTTTTGTTTGCTAAACAATTTCAACACTTCGCTCAAAATTTCATTTTGCTTGCGATTTATTTCTGAAAACGTTATTTCATCGTCACTGGAATCACTTCATTAACCCGATTCACTCGATGTATCCATAAGGTTGGGTGAAAATTGGTGTTCCGATTACGGTTCTTCCCGGTCTTTTAGGGATAATTTCGGGACCGGTTTTCGGGACTAAGGTATATTTTCGGGATTGTTTCGGTGGATTTTGGATTTTTCGGAATTTGGGAATTTTTCGGTTTTTCGGGATTTTCATTTTAAGACGTTTTGTGGTGTTTTAAGGCGTTTTAAACAGCGTTTCCACGACAACCAAATCACGTAGTTCGCTCTCTCAATTATGAACGGTGAATCAACCTGTTTACACGACACATTCATGATTCACTTTGCACCTCTGCTTCTTGTTCTTTGCTTTTGCTTAATGTTTAATGTGCTGTTTATTGTGCATTTCAACGGTGGAGAAAAAATATGCAGTGGTTAATTAACTAAATCAATAGTTTTAACGAATCTAGCTATTTTTCCAATGTTTGTGCTGGTGGGAATGTGTGTGGTCTATGTGTTTTGACAGCCGTTATCGATAAAAATTAGAGACGATTTGTTCTTGATTCGCATGTTGATTGGATCTGAATCACCTTCGAATGAAGTGATTCGCTCTCAAAATTGTGTATGGCGAATTACGTGATTCGGTTCGTAAGTGGGGCGCCAATCACGAATGAGAGAGCGAACTACGAATGGGAGAGCGAATCACTTGCCTTGGAAACATCGTTTTAAGGTGACGCTGGAAGCACCGTATTGTCGGTTTTTCGGTTGCGCGTTATCGGGAAGGTGCGGTTCGCGTGCATCGTTGTTCTTGGAGGATTCTCCACAAGTGCTGGTTGAGCATTTGCTCAGCGTGAGGAACATTTCCGTGCAGGTTGCTGAAAACCATTTGGTGCGTCATGCTGTGGCCCAGTGCTTTTTCGGCCTTGGGTTTCGATGGATAAATTGAGCTCAACTTTCTGGCCAATTGTGTTTTTGTTGCTGTACTGGGACTGTGACCTTGTGCAGAAAGATAATTCCGGTTGCAGCGTTATAGCTCACGGTACGGTTCGGCGTAGTAACCGCATCAGTCGACCTTTGCTCAAGCGGGGAACTTGTGTTCCGTCTGCTGGGGGTTGGTGGTGGCCATTTCCGGGCTGTGAGCCCGGAGTGTTAGCTTTTAGTGTTAGTACACTAATACTTTTGTTCGGGGCATGCTCTCTTGATGTCTATCGATTCTCTAGGCTTGTTTTTGTATCTGGTAGTGCAGTTAACCGGCAAGCCAGTGGTGAAGGCAGAAGGCCGGAATGGGGCCTCCACGTAATAGGAGGGGCCAGAAGGACCCTGCCAGCAGTGATGAGTCCGAAGGATCAATGGTCGTGGATGACTCTTCGTCGGGAGCGTGGGAGCTGTCGCCGGAGATGAAAAGGACGAAGGGGCCGAGGAACTGCGGGGTAAGTTCTGACGGAAATGTGTGAGAAATTTCTGGGCAAGCTTCTGGGGCTTTGAAACGGGGTTTTAAGTGGAAGACTTCTGGGAAAAATAATCGCGTTGGGAAGCCCCCCGGGAGGTCTAATGGGTGTAGGGTTAGGGATGGTATTGAGGGTAGTGTTGTGGGTAGTGTTGGGGGTAAAAATAGGAGTAGTGTTGGGGGTAATAAGGGGGTTGTTGGTGATAGTATTGAGGGTAGTATTGGAGGTGCGGTTGAACGCCCGGGTAGTTCTGGGGGAGTTACGGTAGCTTCGGGTGGTGAGTCTGCGGGTGCCGCTGCACCTGTAAAGCCGCCAAGGGTGAGGTTTCAAAAAGATGCAGGAGAGATTAAGGCGTTGAAGGCGATAACCGCTAAATTTAGTGGGTTCGTGTTTGGTATGGACGGCATGGGGTTAGATACCGCGAAGAGGCTGATGGAGTTCTCCTCAGAGTACGAGGAGCTCTTGATGACGGCAATAGCCGAGAAGGCTCGTCTTCGTGGTCAGGTTGAGTTGCTAAGGGTCCAAAATGGTGGGGCTTCCCAGCGTGGGGTTGCGCCTCTTCTGGCGGAGTCGGTTGCGATGCCGGCACCTTCGGGATCTGCACCGCTGGTGCCTGGATCGGAAGCGGCTAAGCAGTAGGAGACGTAGTCTGCGATGGTGAAGAGTAGAACGGCTGCGTCCTCTCAGGACGTGGTTAAGAAGGTCTTGACCGAGGTGGGCCTTTCCTTGGGTGGGAAGGTTCGCGAGGTGAAAGGCTTGAAGAAAGGGGGGGGGCGATTCTTTGCACACCCTCCCTTGCTGAGAGGGATCTGGTGCTGAAGAATACGCGCTTCTCGGAGGTTGGGTTGGACGTAAGCGTCAATAAGGAGCTGGGACCCAGGGTTGTTGTCCTGTGGGTTCATACTGAAATTCCCCCTGATGAATTCATGGGGGAGCTGTTTAGGCTGAACCTCAAGGAGTTCAGCCCTGGATGCCTTGAGAAGGACGTCAGGATGGTCAGCCGTCCATGGAAGCTGAGTCCGGGTGGAACAACTAGTGTTGTGTTGGAGGGTACGGACGTGTTGATGTCCGCCCTCCTTGCAGCAGGTAGGTGTTACATTAAGTGGTTCTCCTTTCGTGTGCGGGAGGATATGCTGACGCCCTGCTTCTACAGATGTTTGGGCTTCGGCCATCGGGTGGCTCATTGCAAAGCCACGGGGAATGTTTGTCGGAGGTGCGGACAGGAAGGGCACCGTGAGCAAGGTTGCGGTAATGCTCCGCATTGTCGTAACTGTACCTTTAAGGGTAAACCGGCTGGTCACTGTATGGTGTCGACCGCTTGCCCGATTTATGGAGCTCTTGTTGCCCGTGCGCTTCTCAGACATTGATAATGGAGCGACTAATTCAATTGAATTGTCAGGGGGCCTATGCCGTCATGTGCGACGTAGGTGCATTGATGTTGGAGTTGAGCTGCGGCATTGCTATGCTCCAGGAACCATATGCCACGCACGGTGGCGTACGGGGCCTTCCTGGGCCCTTGCAGACCTTGGGGCCAATGCCGTAGTTGCGGTGAATAACCCGCACCTTGAGTGCGTGTTGGTAGACTCGTCTGAGCGGGGGGTGATTGTAAGTGTAGAGAGCAGGTTCGGGAGGCTGCTTGTCAGTAGTATCTATAGTAAGTTTGGTGAGCCCTTCGAGCCTTACCTTGCTTACCTTGACACGGTGCTCTTCTCGCAAGTAACACGCCTGTTGTCATCGGTCTTGACGCGAACGCTTTCTTACCCGCATGGTTCAGCAAGACGTCCTGCCTTTCTTCAGGACGTCGAAGTTGGCAGCGGAGGGAGGTGTTAGGCGAACGGGTGACAGTAAATGAGGTGGGCATTTTGAATGTTCCAAGCGAGTGGTTTACATTCGACGGTCCAATGGGTGCCAGCGATATAGATGTTACTCTAACGAATGCAGCAGGCAGTAGGGGCTTCAGTTTTAATTGGAGTGTGAGGGGCGGATGGGGTATAAGTGACCACAATCTTATCGAGATTGTGATCTCGCCTCATACGCCCACTGGCAGGGTTTCTGGATACCATACGAGAAGGTGGCATACCAGTGGTGTTGTCTGGGACCGATACGGTCTGCTTGCCGAGAAGCTATGCGAGAAGTACCTCTGGACGATTTTGAGGAGATGACCTCGGATGAGCAAATTGCTTGTCTTAACGAAATCGTTTGGAAGGTGAATGATCGTGTGCTGCGTAGGTGGGAGCCGCCTAATCTTAGGCGAGTGAAGTGGTGGTCCAGAGCGCTCAGTGACAAAAGGAAGTCCTTCCGTCGCTCGAGACGCCTTTTCCAAAGGTGTAGAAATGCCGGGGGGAAAATCTGTCCCAGATTAGGTGTCAGTATAAACAGGAAATGAAAGCATATAAGAAGCTGCTAGTCAAGACGAAGAAGGAGGACTGGCGTAGGTTTGTTGGGGAAAATAGGGACGATCCTTGGGGGCTGGTTTATAAGATCTGTCGGGGTCGTCAAAGTAGGGAAATCCCTTCCCTCCGCGTTGGAGCTGGGGAATGCGTTTGGCCTGGTGAGGTCTAAATGGTCTCCAGGTTTTGATGGGTTGAACGGAGAGATGTGCAAATGCTTGTGGAAGTTCATCCCGGAATACTTGGTGGCCATTTATGATAAGTGCATATGGGTGGGTTATTTTCCACGTGAGTGGAAAACTGCTAGGGTTGTTCCTCTCCTGAAGTCGCCTGATAGGATCAGGAGTGATCCTGCATCTTATCGGGGTATCCGCCTCCTGCCAGTGTTTGGAAAAGTGCTGGAACGGATCATGGTTGAGCGGCTTCAGGAGTTAACGTGGGATAGTATGTCGGATAGGCAGTATGGCTTTAGGAAAGAACGCAGTATAGAGGATGCATGGTTGAATGTTCAGAGTGTTATACGCGGGAGTAACAACAAATATGTTCTTGGCATATTTGTTGATTTCAAGGGGGTTTTTGACTACCTACGGTGGGATAGAGTCATTGAGCGAGTTAACGACGCTAACCTAAACACTAGATACATACACATATACATA